AGTAGAACAGAAACATCGGGGTAGACCGTCAAGTAGAACAGAAACATCGGGGTAGACCGTCAAGTAGAACAGAAACATCGGGGTAGACCGTCAAGTAGAACAGAAACATTGGGGTAGACCGTCAAGTAGAACAGAAACATCGGAGTAGACCGCCGCCAAATAGAACACAAACATCATGGTAGACCGTCAAGCAGGACAGAACCATAGTGGTAGACTGAAAAGAGGAACATGAACAGATCATCGCAGTAGACCGTCAAGTAGAACACAAACATTGCGGTAGAGCGCCAAGTAGTCATTGCAGTAGAACAGAATCTGAAACATCGTGACAGACCACCGAGGAGACGTTAATATTTCATAAGAGACGTTGCAGGCACCCTGACCCCAACACCCTATCCTATCGTCGACCCAAAGACTCGGCTGAAGATGTGGCTTACAAATCTTGACGGAGAGCAGAGACATAATTTTAAAATTTATCATTCATTATCGTACAGCCAAGACTAGATCATCCAGGTGAAGCACCCGCACGGTGCGTCGACAATCGACAAAACAAAATTTAAACAAAAACAAACCACAAAAAGCCCAACAATATTATAAATGCTAATACATTTTGTACTAGGGTCACTCTTTTATGCAAGTCATAATAAGAGCAACCAGACACGAACAAAGACGTAAATTAAAAAGGTACAAGCAGGAATGCATTACACAATCCGGACAATTTTTAGAAATCCGGATTTCTGGATTTATCCGGAAAATCGGCACCTCTGGTTATATAAAGTGTATATTATGCAATCGTTTATGAACTGTCCACGGGTTCGTTTAGTTCTAGTTTTAGTATGAGTTTTACGACACTTGCAGCACAATAAGGTCATATAAGTGTCGAAGAGTAGAGATGTTAGAAGAGAGTAACAAACACAAAAAGAAGGAGGGGAGATAGAGACGATAGATTTTTTAAATAGGAAAGAAGGAGCAAACCACACCAGAGCACCCGCAAACCACCCACGTCCACGGGTTCGCCCCGGCCCCCCGGTTCTCTCACCACTGTGCCCAGCGGTGCATGCAGTCAGCCTGCAGGTCGGACAAGAGCCCGGGGTCACAAAATAGGCCAATACGACACCAGAGGTCTATTAAAGGGGGGGGGGGGATTCTCGTGGTCGAGAGGTTACGGTGTTCGCCTCTCATTCAATTGGTCTCGGGTTCGAATCCGGACAGCGACGGGATATCTATTTTTTTCTCTAAAATGTTCTCCTTTCACCTCCTTTCCTGCTCCCTAACAATGTTCTGTCGTCTGCAAGCGCCGTAAATTTTACTTCAAAAAATAAAATTTAGAGTAAGGCCTTTCTTTATGATATAGCAGTCGTGGCGTGCATGAAAAGCGGAGTCAAAGATGGCACACTGTATATGATTAGAACGTTCACTATCTAAACATTTTTATTTCTTTTTCACCTACAAGTTTTTACGCCTCTTTCAACACAATATAGCTCATTTACGAGGTGGGCTTCAACCCTGCCTGACAGGACCAACCAAAGCTGAGAGAGATACAACGTTCCAGAAAAAAGACCCCAGATATTCGATAAAAATTATACCCACACTAGAATCGAACTCGGGTCTTCTGCGTGCGACGGCTAAGCGCCTCACAGCTACACAATACACGCCGGTATTGTGTAGAGGACGCGTTATCAAAGCTCAACAAAGCGCATTTTGGACGCGTTGCAACCACCGACCTAAAAATAGATTTATATGTTTAGGTCAGTGGTTGCAACCCGCTCTGGTTATTATTACTTCCCCCTTAATTGTGTCTCTCAAATTTTAATAAAAGATCTCATACAATCATCCCATATCTACACATTGCGTACATGATACGTCACTCCCTTAAAAAACAAAAAAACAACCCTATTCAACACGCTACAGAAGTAGCCGGCATAATTCATGGGGGGCGCTTTCTTTAAAACTTAAAAACAACCTCAACTGGAGGAGTGAACTGATTTGTTGTTTGCCGAACGGTCTTTGGTGAGTAGCAGTTTAGTTTTAGTAAAAGAGTTTTACGGCACTTGCAACACAATAAGGTCATATAAGTGCCGAAGATTAGAGTGGAGGTGTTACAAGAGAGTACATTTATTTATCGGTTTAGTAAGAGTTTTACGGCACGAGGCATACTCGGGGAAATGGTACTAAATTAGGGATTGGTCGTCTGCTTGTTTGTTCCAGTAAAGAGATACTGGCCAACACAATAACAGCCATTCGGTGTAAAAGAAAAAGCAAAATAGACATATAAAGAAAAAGGGGAAAACATAAGTTGGAAAATGGCACCCTCCACCGGGAGACAGAAAAAATAAACAAGAAAAAATAAAGCACATAAATAGAGCGCCACAGTTACAACCACGCACGCACGCACGC